GGGTCGAAAAACGGCCCAAAAAAGCGTGACGTAATTTATGAACGGCCCCTAAGGTTATGTAGGGTCGAAAAGCCATGTTTTTTTTTATCAAATTTTTTCCGCGCACTCGTGACAGTATCATGTTTTATAATAGGCCTTCTACACGACAAATTTCATCAGCTTTCCGAATCTCTTCCTGATTTTTACCGGAGATGTACAGTAATGTCCCTCTCGAAGCTGGCAAATCGGGACCGTATTTCAGCTTCGAGAGGACGACCCGAAGGTTAGCCACATGTTGCGAACCTATTGTATTGGCGCGGACTCGGGCATCAGGCGGTTGTAAATGCTTTGTCGCCCGAGCTCGCGCGAGCTCGCCAGGTTGTAAACCCCCATCCTTAAGCAGGGTCCGTCTCAAAATTTCAGCTTCGAGCGAGCCAGCTTCGAGAGGGACATTACTGTATACACTCTAAATGTCAAGGACAATTTTTGTAACTAGCACCGGACTTCTGCGTGCATAACTGGAATCAGATACAATATTGTGACTTGCTAGTCACTAAATGTGTGTTGGTAATTACAATATTGTATCTGAGCTAGTTATGCACACAGAAGTCCGGTGCTAGTTACAAAAATTGTCCTTAGATATTTAGAGTGTACTTTTTTCACATAAGCTTCTCCCAAACACGGTGTTTTCGCTGGTACCGCGCCCCGGCCGGGACTCGACGATTGCGTCTCCAGGCCCTGGTTTAAGGAAGAATTGTCCGATCTCGCCTTAAATTTTGAGGAATCTTCTCAGAAATTGAGGAAAAATCCCACATTTTCTAAGGATACTTCCTCGAAATCTGAGGAGTTTTCGTCAAACCAGGGGAGTTTCTCAAAGTTTTTCTTTTCCCTCAATAAATGCGACATCGTATTTACCGTGCATTTTGCACTTGATTTGAGAACAATTTTGGCACTTAAATCAAGCGTTTGGGTACTTGAATCAAGTGTTTTAGTCTCGGTTTTTGTCTTAGTTCAAGAGAAATTTGTCTCACTTCAAGTGCAAAATGCCTTTCATTTATTTAAGGGAATTTCGCTCTAGAACCAAGAGTTCGGCTTTCTAAGTGTAAGGGCATTGTTCTCGTTACTGTGATAGTGGGGCTTTCCACACCAAAACGTTATGAAATACAGAACTGCGTTTGATAAGCGGAATATGTAGCCAGTAGCCCTGTAGTAGTTGCACCGTTTTGTAATATCTCAAACGGTTTCGCGTCAGGAGGGTTGCTGTGTACACTTGTGCAAATAGAACAAAGCTGAAGTTTGTTTCATTCGTAAAAGTGCCCGGTAGCGGCAACCATTTTCTGGTTGTGGGTATCGGATTCTCGATTCCAGCTATCGAGTTTAGCCTACCAAACATAATTGATCCTCACAACGAAGTCATTTTTTCCGTGTGTGCGCACCCACCCTGCCGGAAAGCGACTTTTGCAGCGTCATAGTACAATGTAAGGGCTTTACGTCGCAGCAGGCTGATTTTGAATGTGTCAAATAACACAGGAGATCTAATTGCTTCCAGAAGATATCCCGAAGGCCCCGCATCCCTAATTCATGATCTCATTACCTGGGCACACACATAAAATGGAAGAAACCTAAAAATTCACGAAGATTGTTTCGGTGCTCAGCAGCCTGTTTGAATCTGCGCGCTCACTATGCGCTAGCCAATGGCAAGCCAAGCCTGGTGGGACCGCGTGCCTGTTAAAGAGCCTAAACATTTTTCATGAATTTTCATTGTCATTAAATCGGGATGCAATTTTTACAAAAAAGGGGTTGTATTAAGTTATTGGTATACCAAATGCACATGGATCAAAGTTCATTTGGTACTTGAATCTATAGTTTTTGTCTCACTTTCAGTGAAATTGCTCTCACTTCAAGTGCTATTACTGTTATTCGACGTCACATTTGAACGACTGTGACTAGTGCCCTCGTGCCACATTGGTTGGATTACTATGTCTCGCTGGTCGTAGCGTGACAAATGTAGTCTGAAGATGCAGTTAACCCTCGGTATGGACAAAATTGTTCTTGTACATTAAGAATGTACCGGGTAGTTCAGAGAAGAAGCAGGTGCATGCGGGTTTGCCCACCCAAGGGGCTATGG